TACCTAATTTGCATATTGCTGACATATGGAAATTAAGCAAATGCATTAATTAAGCATGCAAATAGCTGATTTTTCGGAAAAATTGTAACTTTGCGTAAATAGTTGAGGGGCTTAAACTAAACCAAATTGTCTGAAAATTTGTACAGTAATTAAAATCCCGACAAATTTTCCATCTGTTAACTCAAAATATGATTGCAGCTTTTAAATTTTGTGCGCGAGCCATTTTTAGTTTGTTGGAAAAGATACACCCCCCTGGTTCACAAAATTTGAGTTCGAGAAATTTTTCTCATTATTCTACATTATAAGTACCCGAAGAGGTTATATATATAAAAAACCGGATACAAATAGCTGTTTTGCGAAATTGAGAGCAATTTTAAATCTGTTCAGTTTTTTTTGATACACCCTGTATAAGAATACCGCACTACTGCCACTAGGAACAAACGAAAATACAGAATAGGCAGTAAAATTACACCAGGCAAACATTACACTAAACATTTCTACAAACTTTGTTCTGCAACGAGCAATTGAGGAAAATTGGAAACGATCTACCGTATTCCCTGATTTTGCGACTTACAGCATCGCGTAATATAATTTACAGTTTACTGCAGAAACCATATTTCAACGGGTTATGCATCGATGATATGCAAATTAGTATAAGGAAATAGAATAATTTTGTCCGTGACTTCTGGCCTTATAGCCAATCACATTCTCTAATTTTTATTTTGTTTTTCGCTTCGCGCGATGTAAACGAGACGCAAATTTTGAAAGAATTAAACTGTTTTTCACCCTACCTGACATGGGTTCCCGGGTTTTGCCGTATTCGCGCGGTAACATGTGTCCACATTGTTGGTCTTGATGATACAGTATCCAGACTTTAGCCTGCACGCGTCGTTGTAGTGATCTTGGCATGATAGACACGTGTATGGCTGTCCACTACAGTCCCCATTGATACAACGATCATTTCTTGTCTTCACGTTATTATCACTACATTTGAGGTTGTTGTTTGCCGTCCATCTTTTTGGGTTGTTACTGTTGCATTGCTGGAAGAATAAATGTTATAATTCATTTTGAGCAAACCTTGTAATTGGATCATAAAGTCTCAATCTTCCCACCCACCTACCCACCCACCTACTCACCCACCTACTCACCCACCCACCCCCTACCCACCTACCTACCTACCTACCCACCTACCTGCCCACCCATCTACCCACCTATCAACCTACCAACACACATACCCGTGCTTTGAATACGACCCGCTCACCTGGCATGGTTTTCCTGGCCGAATATTCCCATTTGTGTAACATTTTCCATCGATCACACAGAAACCAGGCTTGATCTGGCATCCATTACCATCACAGCTTTCACATGATCTGCACGTGAACGGGGTTCCTTTGCATGCGCCGTTCACGCATCGATCATTCCTCGTACATAATTTGCCATCACTGCAAGAGAGCGCATTATTGTTGGTCCATGCGGTCTCTCGCCCTTTTTGGCAATCCTAGACATAGAAATTTACAAGAGAACAGATTAGCATTGATAGAAATACACACGTAAAACGCACAGCTTGTTACAGGTCTGCAAACGAGGTGTTACAAATCTGTTCACAAGCTGTCGACAAGTCGTGTTCGCACTTCTTGTTCCCAGTTGTTGTAACAAGTTTGGAACAAGCTGTTAGCAACTTGTAACAAACTTGATGGCATTATCAGACTTGTTGCAAGGTTGTTCTAACAAGACTGATACAGTCATGATATAACAAGAATATTACAAGGTTGACGACACAAGGTTGTAACAATACTGTTATATCATGACTGTATCGGACTTGATGGAACAACCTTGCAAATAATATCAACAAGGTTGTACACGCGTAAAATCTCACATCTTGTAGCAAGTCTGCCAACAAGCCGTCAACAAGTTGTGTTTGCACTGCTTGTCCCAAGTTGTCAACAAGTTTGGAACAAGCTGTAGTACTATTTAAAGCACGCGTAGGAGTGTTTTATCACATATTAAACACGACGCGTAGCGGAGTGTTTTATATGTGATAAAACACGACTACAAGTGCTTTAAATAGCTTCAAAAACGACTCATCTTACACGAGTTCATTGGCGAAGTAATTTTTAAAATAAACTTTGTATAAACCGAGAAAATCAAAGCTAAAGTTTATGTAAATTAACGTGATTTTTTATCACATATAAAACCAAGACACGCTTATGATTTTTCTTTGTGTTTTGCTGCTGAATTATTAATGAGTTTTTGAACAACTTTTAACAACCTTGTTGATATTATCAGCAAGGTTGTTCCAACAAGTCCAATGAAGTCATCATGTGACAATATTGTTACAACCTTATGTCGTCAACCTTGTAACATTTTTGTTATATCATGATTGTATCAGACTTGTTAGAACAACCTTGTAACAAGTCTGATAAAGCCATCAAGCTTGTTACAACTTGTTTGCAGATATATAACAGTATGTACCCAGTATAGTATGAATAAAGTTAAAGGGAAATCTGCTGTGTTGGTGTAATGTACTCAGGTGAATAAGATGTTTGTGTGATGTTACTCTGAGTGTGTATCCACACCGGGCAGGCTTGAAAAATATGCCTGGCCACGGCGGGATTCGAACCTACGACCTTTGGAATATTCCAAAGGTCGTAGGTTCGAATCCCGCCGTGGCCAGGCATATTTTTCAAGCCTGCCCGGTGTGGATACACACTCAGAGTAACATCACACAAACAAAGTTAAAGGGTTTTGTAAATCGAAATTCCAAGTGTGAATTTTACTCATTTATTTAGACAGGAGCAGTTGCGAAAAATGTAAGTATAGGCCCTCCAGGACTAAATAAATATATAAAGTTTAGTTTGGGTTATTCCTGTAGTAACATTGGATCTTTATGGGATGATCATGAACTATTTAAAACTGATAACTGGATAAAATAGTCTATACGGTTTATTACCTGGCACTGATTCCCGGGATTCACTCTACCGTAGGTATAACATTTACCACCAATACGGCACTGTCGCAGTTGACACCTGGTACCAACTTTTGTGTAGCATGAATTGCAACTACATGTATAACTGCCTGGAACATTTTGACAGTTGTGCTGGCACGGTCTTTGCAGGCATTCGTTAACATCTGAAATGTTATGGGTAAATATTAGGTGGTTGTTATGATGATGGTGATTTGATTATGGTAATGATGGAGTTGATGATTGCGATGATACTGATGGTGATGAAGATGATGTTGGTGGTTATAAAGATGATGGTGGTGATGATGATGGTGGTAGTGGTGATTATGGTAATGATGGAGCTGATGGTGACGGTGGCAGTAATAAAGATGGTGTTGGTGGTTGTGATTATGGTAATGATGGAATTGATGATCGCGGTGATGGTGATAATGATAGTGGTGGTGGTAATAAAGATGGTGATGATGGTGATGACGACGATGATGATTGTGATGATGACGGTGGTGGTAATAAAGATGGTGATAGTGATGGTAGTGATGATGGTGGTGCCGGTAATAAAAATAGTGGTGGTATACCATGAAGATGGTGATGGAGGTGGCGTTGATTGTGGTAATAATTGTACGAGAATGATATTGATGATAATAATATGGCGATGATGGTCATAGTGATAAAATAATAATGTAATAGGGATGTGCCGGATACTGTTTTGCCGGATACCGGATAGTACCGGATAGTAGTCTAACGGATACCGGTCAGGAGAAAATGATGACCGGATACCGGATAATAACCAGATAAGCTCTTGGGGTAAATGTTTCTAAATAATGTTTAAGTAAAAATAATCTATTAGAAACACAACATTTTTATAGCTTAGTTAACTAGTCCAATGTAGCAATGTGTTTAATACACATTTTTTGTCTCTTTGACCTATTTGTCTTTACCAAGGCCATATCTTATGATTCACCTTACATTGTTTACTGGTATTCAGTATATAAAATTCACTGCTATTGGCGAACGAGCAGTTCGCATCACCATCACGAAAAAAATATGTCATAATTTCGTCGTAATGCAGCGCACGCTCAATAATTGTTCGTGTTTCACAATTTGTAAACGCCAAGTAAACCTTTCCGTTTCATGGTTGTAACAAAATATCTTACAGTACTATCAGGTAAATATCCGACAAATTTATACCGGATACCAGATAGTGCCGGATGTCTAAATTTTACCGGATACCGGTATCCGGATCCGGCACATCCCTATAATGTAATGATAAATGTAATGCTGAAGAAATTATGACTGTCGTGATAATGGCGATGGTGGTGATGATAATAGTAATGGTCACGATGATGGTAATATGGTGAGACAATGGTTGTTAGAATGGTGTGGTGGTGATGATGGTATTGATAATGATGATGATATGGTGATGATAGTGGTGGTTACGTTGGTATCACTGCTAATAACACGGTGGTCATGATGGCACCAATTATATTTATAAAAGTTTTTACCAATTTTCTGTTAAGTTTCTACCTACCCCTCTCACAGCAAGTCCCCGTCCACCCCGCGTTACAGTTGCACCGTCCACTGGTAGGTCTCCCTCCATTACGACACGCGTTTCTGTTACACGTCCTGGTCTCCGAAAATTGATATGTACATTTTCCCCCACAGCACTCAGTCACACTTTTCCCCCTACTTCGTGTCTGGATGCCCGCATTACCACATCGGTGGCTACACCCGCTCCACCCTGACCATGATCCTGGTACACAATTTCGTGGTGGTGTCGGCGGGGGTGGGTTACGTCGACGCCGGCGGCGCCATGCCCCTGCGACGTGTATGAACACCAGGAGTGCGACGCATGACGAAATGAGTTTCATTTGTGCTCTGGATCTTTGGAGTCGAGTAGCACGGAGTCTCTTTCTTGTTTGGAATTTGTTAAACACGGATACTTTTTCTTCTTGGTGAAGTCGCCTTTCAGTCTTTGCTTTATTAAATTTTCTTGATCATGAAACAACCTAATTAAAAATAAAAATGAATTTGAATAATTAGATCAGCGATCTGCACTCGTTATATTAACTTTATATAATAACGTTAAGAATTCATTGGTCGAGGGCCATGATCTATAACTGATCAGACAACGGCAAAATCTTATCTATTTGTTAAGTAGAAGGATTTTGTCGGTGTGAATTTATACATTTATATTTATATCCAGGTATTTCTGTGTTCATGTGACCATTTTTGTCCAACCTTTTTGTAATTGAACAAAATGGATTTAATGGCCCTGTTTCCGCCTGCTTATGTTTATTTTTTGTGTTTATATTTTGCAACTGTGCCGTTCAGTGCTATTTATTATGAGTCAAAATTGGAAGTGGGTTTTGTAAAGCCTTCATATGGAAAATTTCATCCCACCTGGCTGGCTGGCTGGCTGGCTGGCTGGCTGGCTGAGATCCCACCCATGCAGCGCAAGGTGAGATCTCGAAGCATATAAATTTTAAATTTCTTTATATCTGAATAAAGCTCCGTATAGACTGGCACGTTTTTTAGAGACCTTGGAACTTAGGACGACATCGCAACGTAACTCAAACTGAGTTCAGCAGAACTCTTCCCAACCATGTAAAACCCATGTCTTCAACTTCTAAGAATGTATTAAATTTATACGATTGATAATATACGACGAATTATCTTTACTACCATTTATTTGAAGGAGTTTGTTTTGGCCGTCGTCGTCACGTTGCCGTTTTAAAATTGTATAATGTCTCTAATTTGCTCGTATGTAGGGGCAAAAAAATTGAAAATTTTTCCTTGCCAGAGAGTCTTGTTCCAAAGCTAGTCGTGCCAGCTTTTGGAGAAGGAAAATTTGTTCGTATGTACGGCCGCCAAAGAAAACTTGGCAAGTGTACAAAAAATACTTCTATATGTTACGGGGTTATAAAACTTCGAGATATTCCAAGGAATAATGAAACAGGAAAAACTGAAAGCAGTCTGTGTGAAAGCACATTGATTCTCTTTGAAAACATTGCTGCAGCATATCTTCTTGCAAATTGCAATTCTTAACCAAACCTAATTGCATTATTCAATAGTAACATCGAACGTTCATCATATTTTCAGGGCCACCTCAGATGTCTGTCATTCAATGGTGACACGCGCTGCCAGACAGGACAGGAATTGCGTCAAAAACGCGAGGAAGGAAATGTCACAGAGCAATCAATATCGTATTGGCATTTTATGCGTCAACACCCGCGTCATCGGATTACGACGCAATCTCAAACTGGGTGAGTGGAAAAGGTATAGTGACGTTTTTCTGCCAAAAGCTATTACTAATGAATGCTTCTTATGACGCGGCTAAAAACGATCAGGCTGTTGCAATAGTTGATGAAAACAGGATTGAACAATGTTTTGCTGCTCACATTGTTCACAGTTGCCAACAATATTGAACACTATTGTTACACCCGATTCAGGCTCAACACTATTGTCCAATATTGCTGACAAGTGAACAACGTGGGCAGCAAAACATTGTTCAATCCTGTTAAATAGCAGACTCGTAATTTTTATGCGTGTATATACAAAATGAATTTATTTTGTTTTGTCGAGAACGTCAAGTTGCGAAACTTTCGATATAAGTCCCGATCTTCGAGATTAAGCTCGACATTTCTGTGGCGCAAATTATAATTTGGATACGATCAAATGCGCTTTAAGGTTACAGGACACCCTTTTTGGCGTTTTGCGGAAAATCGCTACTGCGCGCTCAATATCAGTCCGATTTTCTTCAAATTTTGACCAAATGTTCTCCAGTGCTTGCAAAATATGGTAAAGTTGTAAAATTAACAAACAATAAAATAATGTAAGAATTATTCAGGAAAATCTTAAATCGCGGTACCTTTACGCTTTTGAGTTGTGCTCCTGCTGGTTTTAAGTTATATTTATGAAAATATCATTTTTATACAGTAAAATAGTTGTTCTAAAAAACTGTGTTCGGAAATTTTTGTTTATTTCGTCATTCCGCTGATATGGCGATTTCTTTGACGACTGCAATATATTTCTGAATTGTTTGAGTGAATTGCTCTTTATTTTTAAAATATCCAAAATTAAAAAAAGCCGAACACAATTTTGAAACTGACGTATTTAGCTATGTCCTGTGAAAATTTGAGAAAAATTGGTTAAAACCCGCAGGAGCACAACTCGTTTGAAAATCAGTAATTACCGTAAAATTTTTCGGGAGAAAATTGAATTTGAATATTACATTTTCAATGTTTTTCTTATTGCAGCGAAATGTATCTTACTAAATAACTCCGTGAGTTTTCAACATTTTTCGTTCAAACTTGGTCAGATAGTAGAACTAGTCTAATGCTTTCATGGAAACCAATAAAAAAAAATTAGGCAAAATTAACACTCAAAGGTGTTCTGTAACCTTAAATCAAGTACTACGCTTAGCCAATTGCCTACTGAGCCTAGAACTGCTAGAAGACTGTTTTATCTCTTACAAAAATTGTGATATTACTTTCCTAATTAACTGCGTTTGTCCTAACCCACCCTGTCAACTTTCCCTGTGGGAGGAAACCGGAGCACCCAGAGAAAACCCACGACTTTCGACAGAGTCAGTGAAAGGCGCTTAGACTAAATTTTGATCTAAACAAGTCTAGACAAAAATTTCATCACAGCTTGAAAGAGGAGCATCACAAAATTAGTAATATTCCAAAGTTTCGTTGCGAAATGTTGTAAAATGCGAATAATATAGCCTTGCGAAGTTTGCCGTTTTTCAGTCATTTTGTATTACAAACGGGAAATTGACAGCCCCAAAGGGTATTGGGCTGTCAATTGCCCCCGCGTAATGCAAAATGACTGAAAAACGGCAAACTTCGCAAGGGCTATATTATCCGCATTTTACAACATTTCGCAACGAAACTCTGGAATATTACTAATTTTGTGATGCTCTTTCAAGCTGTGATGAAATTTTTGTCTAGACTTGTTTAGATCAAGATTTAGTCTACAGGGTGTATAAAAAAAAGCGCAATCCTCGACTGAAATGTAAATTGCTAAACAAATAATAGACGAAAACGTTAAAGTTTACATTCATTTTAAAGCGTAGCCATTCAGCTTTCTAACAGTGGGTTGTTTCTTAAATTTGACTCATTGATTCGCGGGTAATAATGCTTTACGTTATTGCGATTGGAGATTAAAAAAATTGAGATGGAATAACAAATCGTTCTCATGAAAATAACTGATTTTTTCATTAAAACAAAAAAATGTTGCATTTTATTAAATGGTTGTAACAATAAGTATAATTACGGCTTTTCTTCCACTATTTTTAACTCAGTTTGAAACTTCAAATGCGATATAATTTTGGCTTGGACCATCTAAGCTGACTGACATCAACTTGCTATAATTTCTGTTTACATTACATCGTAATTCGATGACACTCTGGCTCAGACACCAGAATGTTTTGACGATTTTAGCATTCGTTTAGGATTTTCAAACAACCTGGTCTCTTTTAAAATACTTTTAATTTGTTCTTACATGGTTTTCCAGATGTAGTGACGACAACATTAAAGTTTAAAGAAGAAAATTCTAACATTTAAACCGATTAAACAATAACATATAGTAAACTTGCATAATTAAACAGCAACTAAAAATGATAGGTTTTACTAAATCTTTTCCTGTGCAATTATTAC